ATGGGGTGGTAGTTAAATGCTCAATTCTATCCTAAACTATACCCTAAACAAGGGAGATTCTTGATCGAGCTTGCCAAGACCTATTCCTGTAACTTAAAAATGTTCTCTTGGTTCCCTTTAGAAATTTAAACAACACTCAGTGTAATTGAATATATTTGCTTCTGCCTATTGACTTTGTATTTCCCTTATCAAGACAACAGTATTTTCTTAGAAGTTGCCTTGGGCATTTCTGCAAGGTCAAAAAGACACAATGCACAGATAGGGATAAACCTACTTTGAATTACTGCATCCATTCATGCTCCAGTGGCTCTGCAACCCTGACAGCAACAAATGAAGACTAGTATATTGGGAGTATAGTACTCAACTTAGAAAATGCAAAAAGAGGGTATGGTCAGAAAGAGCCCTGACATGCTGTTAAACATTTACCATCCTGCCTGAGCTGCTACACCACTAACACATGTAAGTCACAAACAGGAGTCACACGGGTATGAGGGAAGCTGACAGAACCACATGCTTGCAACTATGAATTCACGTTTCCCAAGAGATGCCCCAATCACGGCACAATGTTGTCTTTTTGACAGAGCGAGCTGCACATTCAAGGGAAAAATCTCTTCCCTTGCCAGTAGGTTTTGAAGAACTAAAACTGGTTGTTCCTTGTCTGAAGTCCTTTGACTATGGAGGGGTTTTAGAAGCTTCAGCTCGTGTCAAAGTAACATATGCTTGATGAGAACTCTGGTTAATATCGTAGAGCTTTTGGAAAGAGGTGCCTGAAAACCACCAGCAGACAGGACTTTGCGTCTTAAATAACTTCTGTCACTTAGGTGCCACTGAGAGTCAGTTACCAGCCCTTTTCTTTTGTTGAAATTATAGCCTTATTCATTTTATAGTATTAGATAAAAGGGCACATACGCTCTGAAAGGGCAGGTAACCTCAGGGCAGGATACTGCTCAACCTTTGTCTCTGGGTAGCCGAATTGAAAATCAGCAGCTATCATGGAAACATATTGTAAAGCTGGGATACTGCTGTGAATAATGAAGCATATCAAGTGTTTTGATAAACAAAGGAATTTAAATGGGCCTGAAAAAGAAAAGAGAAAAAGCATTACGGATTGTCATCTTTTCCAAAATCTTCCATTAGTGCTCTCACAGAGTCCTGTTCTCTACCTCTCAGACTCTGACTCAAAATTCCATTTAAGAAAATGAAGAACACGATCCTGCCATCTCTTCAAAGATTTAACTTTATGGTAGAAAGATTTTATTGTTGTTATTTGCCATTAAAGGTAATAATTCTGGTGTAGTTTTCTTTTGCTAGCATTTGTGTTATTTTATTAACATCTCCGTAGTACCAGTTAGCACTATAAAAGGAATTCCAATTTTTAACACGATTATTAGTCTCGATTTTCATCCTCAAAGCAGAGATGTTTTCGAAGGAGCCCAGGGAGGAGGAAGTAATACGACTCAGACACTGCAGTCAATTGTTACCTCTGAGCACATACACTTAGATTGCTTTTCTTTGATGCTGCTGCCAATTTTATTCACAAGCACATAAAAAAAGGTCATGACATTTAGAATTACAGTACTCTGGAAATTAAATGTTCCTTTACATTTTTAATTTCTGAAAGTAATTTATCATGGAATAATATTTGAATATGATTGAATGAATGTGTAAAGATTAATGCAAACTGTCTTCAAATTGGAAGCTCACAACCACATACATTTAACCTTGTTCTATAACAGGCATAAAAAAGTTCATGGGGTAGCTCCAAGAGCTGCACTTCTATTTTGCTGGAAGCATTTGCACTGTAATTCTCCTTAGTATTTTTCCACTGACATGTCTGTGTAAGGCATGAGATTTAGCTCTCTGTCATTTTCTACTTAAGATTACGCTGTATTTGAATGGATTTCACAAACCTGGCAACTAAATAAGAAGCAGAAACTGAGTTCCAACTGTCTGCACAATTCTTTCATACAAATTTTTATATAAGAAATCAAAGTACTGATTTTTATACCAACCCAGCAATATTAATGATACTATTGTACTATACGAGGAAAATAAAATAATTTTGTGTGAAGATTGGAGAAAACACTAAGGTACCAAGTAACCAAAATGCTAATCAGAAGCTCCAGACTGAGAGGTCTGGAGATGTGATGGAGGGGAGATCACTCAAGTGCTGTCGTGACGAGGCTTCAGGGGCTGCCACGCTCTGCCATGCGATTGCCTTGGACAACTCACATGTGTGTCCTCAGATAATAGTCAGGGCTTATTTCTCCAAAGTGACACTACTTGTTGAGCAAATGAAGGAATCTTAGGAAAGGCAGTGCTATGGAAATTTTTTGTGGTCAGCAATTAGAATTCATAATTCTCCCATAAACCTAAGGAAAGCTGACTGGCTTGCAGGCTGTAAAGGGCAGACACACACAATACCAAATCCCTTTTCAAGTGCTGCTAAAATTGCACCTGGGTAAAATTTATACTGGTATATAGAATTTACTCATGTTTTCTCATGGAAACTCCTAGAAGCTCTTCGTTAAAAGACTGACAAACTCTGAAATATTCTGTTTCAGACTCCATTATACTCAGTGGGTCAACTGAAGAGACAATGTCCGAAGAAAGGAGACTGAGGAACTGGCACATTCAAAGATCCAGAAGAAAATTTAAGATAAAGCAAGTTAGAAAGCCCCTTTGCTATTGATTATTTGATTCTCAACACCAAATCCTTCTGTGGGCATTTCAGCACCTAACCCCAGAAAGAAACAGACAGTGCTAAAGCAAAATATTATACTGCCTTTTTTTTTTTTTTTTGCACATACATATACATGCACATACACAGTGCCTCCCATGCCTGTACAAGTATTTTGCTTGTAACACTATAATGAGGCTTATGAGCGGTTTCTTTGCATACACTCAATGAAGGAGATGACTACTGTCTTCAGTGTTTTGAATGTTTCCATACACCTGTGGCAATGATTTCCCTTATTTCCCAGGTGATGTGCTCCTCCAAGGGGGCAGAGCACTCTCTTCATGCCACACTGAAGATGGCAGAATGGAGGCATTTAATATCCTTGACACCAGGGCAATGGCAGGCGTACTGTTAGCTCAAGTTTAGCCTCTTGAAAAAGCCTTCAGGAAAGTTGCTCTGCAGATCACCCAATCCATTAAATTAATGCTCTGATGGCTGGAGTTAAAGTTTTGAGTCAAGCAAAACAAAAGCCTAGGTTTCAGAATACATATACCCTGTCAAATTGCATTTATCAAGATAAGGGTTATTAGAATCTTTTCTCTCTTGTGTGAATGAAATTGTAAGCTTAAAATGTCACTGAAGATTTATTAATCTGATACTCTTTCTGATAAGGGCAAAGAAATAGAAAGGGCAAAGAAAAAGAAATATTTCTTGTAGCCCTTATCAGGCTACAAGAAGTAGAAAATATGAATAAGGCAATTTATCAGTGGATATACTATAACCAAAAGATTCAAGACACATAAAGCAATATTACAGCTACACATTGATTTCAGAACCTTACCATCTAAAATACTTCATCTAAGTTTGATAGCTATGCAGAAAAAATTCTGTGATTTGCAAAAAATGGAATAAACCTGAATTTTCAAAATCTAGGCTGGAGACTCACTTCTTGTTCCAGAAAGTAGATGGAAGCCTAACGTGAAAACTGTTGCTGTGCTAGAGGAGATGGTGTGTAGAGCACCACCAGCAGAATCATCAGTGTTTTCAGCTGAAGTGACAGGGCCAGAACTAACAGAGCAAATGTTTTTTAATTTTTTTTTTTTCCTATTTCTGTGCCTGCTCCTGTCAGAATGTCTCCATAGTGAGGAGGAGTAAGAGCAGACAGGTTCTTAAATATTTTGGGTCAAACAGACCACTGTTAAAGCTTCATCTTTTTTATACTCCACGTGGTGCATGAGGTAAACAAACACATTTCACGGCTTAACATGACAGAGCAAACCCTGTCTAAGCCTAAGTCACTACTTTGGCTTTATGAGCTACTCATACGGACAGGAGCAGAGCAGCTGTCGGTGAGGGACCCCTCTTAGCACTCCTCCTAGGAGAGGGAGACAACACTGTACTTAAAAACAGGCTACTATTCACTTTGCCACAGATGCTCTCACCAGCACATCTGCACTCATATCAAGAAACCACAGCCACAAGTAACAACTTTTTTCCTTTCCAAAAGGCTTTTCCCCATAGCAGGGTGGAAACTCTTAGACAGAACCTGGCTGTGACACTTGCCCTGCTGCTGGACTTCTGCTTTTAGTCGGCCTCCTTTGCAAGCACTAATTCCCTCTGGATGAGGTCACTCCGAGACAGCTCGTGCTTGCTTCCTCAGAAAAGACCTGGGGGAGTAAATTAGCTCACCAGGCTTTCAGACCAAAATAGAGAACTCACTGGAGAGCTGGCGGGGAAAACAGCCATTTGTGCTGAGACTTCAACCTTCGGCTTTATATAACATCATATGCAATGAGTTTGTTGTTGAAACAATTTCATATATAAATACATATACGTGTATTTATTTAATATATATTTGAATTCTAGTGATAACATTAATAACAATGAAGATTCAAATGATAATTGAGATCCCATGTAGTATATATGTGTAATTTTAAATGACTTTTTGGTTTACACACAGGCTACTGATTTTTTTTTTTTAAACTTAGGAAGTAATGAACCATCAAGTAGTATTTTTTTCTTTTCTGTCTTCTTTTATGATGATTCAATGTTTTCATTCAAAATATTTTCACTCAAAAATGAGATTCATTAGCCAGAACTCAGTTTTCTTATGAGATTCTATCAAGTGGGTGTTACTTTTGCAGCAGTTAAGATGTTTGAAAGCACTACATGTTTAGAAAAGGATTAGTTGTACCTTAGCTTTTTCTTAGAAAATGTTACATATAGAATATACTAGTTAGGAAATTTCTTTCTTACGTTTTTCTATGAACACAGCAGGAACCAATTAATCTGCTACAATTCCATTAACAGCTCAACTCACCAGTCTTCTCCGTCTTGTGTTTTGAACTTTCAGGTCCTGGAAGGCAGGGGCAGGGCCCTTCGCATCGAGCTGTGATGGTTTTGCCAGAAGTACATGCATGAAACTCCAACTTGCACTAGAATAATTAAAAAAAGGAAGAATATGTTTTGAATTAGGACAAGATAGAAAAGCAGCAGCTGTGGATTAAATGAGAAACTGCATTTAGCAATAATGGCATTGGACAGATTGCAAAACTTCAGTCTCTATTGAAAATGCCATTGTTTTTGTTATTACAGATAACAATAATAGCTAGTTCCTATGCAGAGCTTTTCACGGCACTTCTAAATGTGCCTTGTAAAGCGTTGTTATTGTTCCCTGCTTAAATATATGGAATCTGCAGCATAGCAAGTTGAAACAATTTCTTCCAGGTCACCTAATAGATCAGCGGCAAAGCTGGGAAGAAAACACAAACCTCCAGAATCCCATGTGCTCCCTATGCTGCATTACCACGTTTCAGGTGTGAAATCGTGCCATCTATCACCTGTTACTACTAGTGATTTATTAGTTTGGTCTTTTGAGGAGCTGGGAGCTCTCAGTTTCCACTGCAAGCAATGGGATTGGTCTGAGTAACATCCATGAAAAGACAACAATCCTCGCAATAGTGACAGCTGAAAGAAATCAGCTCACCAGCTCATGAGACTGATCCTTCAACACATCAACATCTCCAAATAAGGATGAAATTTTAAATGACTCCTACCAATAACTACAAATTGCCTTAACAGTACCATCCCTAAAATTAGCCATCCATCATGCAGTCAACTCCAGAAATACAACAAAATTGTAAAACTGAAGAGTAAAGATTAAACCATGAGCAGTGCAGTATAGTTCCCTATATCTGCATATTGTTTCTTGTTGCTTTCCCTTCCTAATCCAGCAGATGGGATTTACAGCAACTCTTGACAGTCACCATATTCAAACCATTTAGGACAGCAGGGCATGTGCAGTATTGGACGAATGAGACAGGAGAATTAATATTGCAAAAGTGTGCTCGTTAAAAAGCCCCAATTTATAACACACTGACTAGTCATAGCCTTTGCTGTTTGCATTACATATATTTTAGTGCTGACTTTCCTCTAAGAGCTTTGCACCTGTGTAGCTGTCCTCTCTGCAGTTACTATCCCAAGGATATTTTCCCAAGACTGTGCCCAGCAGCACAGTTGCTGGAGACTGAGCTAACGTACTAATAAAACAGAGTAAAAGAAAACAGCACACAGAAGTAGGAACAAAAATGTGCGAGGCGTTCTCTTTGGCTTGATACCTAATGAACTGAATTCAGTTCCATTTTTTGTCTTCTTCGAGCACTGATTTTACCAGATCAGAATCTGAGGGCTTTTAATGCAAGGGGGAGTTTGCCTGCAGCACTGAGACTGGCGCTCCTCCCTGCAGAGACTGCCTCCTGCCAGGGGAAACTGGAAACGTCGGGCTGTAAAATCCCTTTGATATGTCTGAGTTTTATTATAGATTAATTCTTTCTCATTTAAAAGTAGGTCAGCATGCTCACACAGTGCGACACAATGTGTTTTGAAACGTACAACTTTTTTTGAAGGCCGAAGGATGCACAGCATAAGGCCATGGCGTTACCCACTGGGGATGCCGTGGGCAACTGGAGCTCATCCAGCAACAGCCACTGATAAACATCACAGCATCATCTTCTGTTATTTTGGTACAGTGGAAGCCAAGAGAACAGAACAGGATGTTGTTACATGATAAATACCTCCTGCTTTGAAAGTACTGCAAATATCTTGGCTTTGCCTCTATTTGTTTTTGTTAAAAGGGCTCATCTTTGCCCAGGCTTTAATCTAGCAGCAGGAGACCATTATCCTGTGCCTACATCCTATTCTGTTGACATTATCTCCTGGCCATTCCGAACTTCAATGCATCGTGGTGGTTGCACGCTCTGTGTGATGTTCTGCCTTTCCGATTATAGAAAATGCACAGCCACACACAAACATGTGCAAGCTTAGCTTGCACTTTACACTAATTTCTTGCAAGATTGAAGGGAATATAAGTACTTATTTTTCATCTGTTTGCTTCATAAATATGCTGCACAGAACACAAACGCAACAGAAAGCACATCCGAAGGAAAGGAGAACAGGAGAAAGGAAAACACTCTCTGAATGCACAGTCCTGAAGGCAACAACTCTGCAGCGTATTCTGACAGTCAATGTGTTATTGAGAACACAGGCACAAATCTTCTGCCTCCAGCTGGAGTTGATCATTTAATCCCTTACAGAACATCAATTAGTTACATATTTTATTATGCATAATAAATGTAAATTATGTATCTAAACATTAGCAATTATACTTCAAATACCACCTTTAAGATGGTAAGGCCTATTTCAAGCCTGTTATTATGTGCAGTTAAGAAAGAAAGAGCTTTATACTTGGCAACAGCAAGGCAAGTTTGTCCTCAGCTTTCCTTATAATTGATAAAAACGACAACCAAAAATCTCAAAATAAACCAAAAAAGAAACTGCTTAAAAAGGGCACTCTCTATCATCTGAGTGTGCAGGGAGAGAAGGAGAGCTAAACTTGAAGATCACAATGGTGTAGTCACATGTGAGTAAATTTACACCTATGATTAACCATATTATATTCCCACCATACTCGTTTGGGATGTTAGTTTGTATACATATAGAACTGTGGTCGCAGCTTGGTGTTGTGGGAGGAAGATGAAAGAACTCCATCATTTTAAATATTAAATTAGGATAACACTGATTACTTTTCAATACCTAATCACTGTATGTAACGGTTTTTCCCTTTCCTAAAGAAAAACATGGAGATATCATACTTTCCAGGTGATGGTGTACTTACTTACTGTAATAACCTACACAAATAGCTCAAGTTTGGATTTAATGACATTGCCTGAGCCAAACTAAGTGATATTCAGAGGCAGAGTGACCACAGAAGATGTCCTGTGCAGTAATAATGAAGGTTTTGGACTACTCTGCCACTGGATCTACAGCCTGGAAAAAGCCTGCTGGTTTTCTCCAGATCATGGACACAGCATTTCTATATTTATGGAGAAAACCCAAACACTTTCTCTCCTTTTGCCATCCTCATCTCCTTCTCACATAAAAATAAAAATATACACAGTACAGGAGAAAACATATTAAATGAAGGAAGGACCAGCCTATGTAGATGTGGTGCTTAGGGACATGGTTTAGTGGTGGACTTGGCAGTGTTAGGTTTACGGTTGGACTTGATGATCTTAAAGGTCTTTTCCAACCTAAATGATTCTATGATTCTACTGGTGTTTCACATCAAAGGGACATTACAAGTTTTGCAGACATGAGCCATGAAGCTCCTTGCAGTGATTCTACGCAGAACTCACTTGGAGCAGTCCCACAGTTTGGGGCTTGTCCCTCTGAATTCAGGGGACTCATCTCACTGGTGGTACGACTGGATACGCCTTGACTCTCTGCTGAGCTTTTCTCCTACTAGAGCTCTCTGGGTTCTGCCAAGTGTCATATTTCTCTGCTACCTCCCTAGTGTTTGAACTGTATTTGTTTGCTATGAACCCCAAGGCCCACATAAACATCTCTCAACTATTTTACTGCAAATGGAAAAGCAGCTCTGTTATTTGTTGCTAAACTTATATGGAGAACAATAAAATATATGAGGGGAGAAACGGTTGAACATATTCATGGAAAATTCATAAATTAATTTATTCAACTAAGATGTGGGAAATTACTGCAGACTGTGTTTTGGCTAAAGTGTTCCCCTGAGAATCCACTGCTCGTATAATGATTCTCTCTTTATTGTCAGTGAATCTATAGCAATGTGTTTTGCATAAGCATTCACATTTGAGGGAGAAAGAAAATAGCTACATAAAATTTATTCCCAGCTATTTTATTCTTCTCTGTCAGTCTCCAGCCTGTAGTCCCTGCTAGAGGAAAATCTAGATATTTTTTTAATGATGTAATAAAACAGCGTATCTCTGTCTTTACATTGGCTTTCAACTTTTGGCAGCCAGGTTTTGATCTAACCTGCACATAAGTAACACTGTCGAATAAGTTACTGTGATCTTTTTCACAAGGTTATATATTTGACTAATGAATGTCTACGTGGACAGCTTAGTGCAGACTCCAGACCACATTAATGTCTTGAAAAGCTTTGCATCCTGACACAACAAACTCCCATATTTTCTTCAACTGCTGCCAAGTAAGGCAGCAGTGGGTTGAAACAGGGGACATTGATGGCTTCTGGCCATCAAGGAGCATCGGTCCGGAGCAGCCAGCTGAGCTGCCTCCCGGCTGGCATGGAGTGATGTGCACCTCCATCCCCTGCTGCAGAGCTGAAACTGCCCCTGGCATCCAGACAGCTACAGGTGAGACAGCAGCTTACGAACCTGCTCCTTCCACCAGCAGATACCCAGCCGGTCCCTGCTGAGGTCAGCTAGTATTCCCCTGCCAGTGGAGAGGAGCAGACAGGAACACTGCAACATTAAATGCTCCCAACGGCAGAGATGGACTTTGCGCACACTGACAATATTTGATGCATTAACTACACATGCTGGGATGAAGACTGGCAGCTCACTCAGTAATGACAGAGCTGTGCATTTCTTCATTATGATTCTAATTACAATATATAGGTTAAACACTGTGAGATCCTAGCCCTGACAGCACTTTTCATCAGGAATGCAGATGTAATTAAGAACCTGCCACAGGTGCCTCAGATGGCCTGGGACATACTATGTGCCTAATGTTGCTCCTGTTCGTAGGGCCACAGAGAGGATGGACAAGCAGAGCACTTTGCACAGGCTCCATATTCCTGGGCGATCTCACAGCCCCAGTAACAAACACCAGGGAAGGGGATCAGGAGAGAGCATGCTTTAGCTGGGGTTCAGCAGAGGGAAGGCTCTCCAAGACGCTGATTTGGTCTTAATGTATAAAATTTGTAATACGAAATCTGTCATTTAAAATTTCTTGTAGCTGTGCTAATAAAGGAGAAAATGTTAGCTTCGAAACTTCTATTGCTTCTGTCATTAATTGAAATGTGAATTAAAAAGCAGAGAAACATATTTTTGTCGGTGGGAGTATGTAGGAATTAGCAGACAAGATACACGACGAAGAA